TTTTTTTTTTTTTTTTTGCATCTGTCCGGGATCCTCTCCCAGACCTTCCTGCGAGTGCGAGCCAACCGGCAGACCCGACTGAATGGTGAGTCCTGCCGGCCCCTCCCTCCGCCCCACCCCCGGCCACCTCCTTCACTGCCCGCTGCTCCTGGCTTGCTTGGGTCTCTTCCACTTTGGGGCCCACTCACTTCACAGTCACAGCGCATGAGTATTTCCAAACCACCGCTGCCGCCCTCAGTTTCCCCGTCCGTCTAATGGAGGTTATGGTTCCCAGCTCTTGCCCATTTCTCTCTAAAGGCCCTGAAGAACCCTGGGGGGCAATAAGTGCCGGAGAATGAGGAACAAGCTACATAATTCCACTCGGGAGCTCAGCTTTGAATTTGCAAACTGCTGGGACCTCACTATACAAGCCGGCAGGGCGCTGAGAATGTTTTTCTTCCAGTTTTTAATCAGTGCCCAGTAGTGTGAATACAGCCTCTCTGCTGAGACTTGACAATGCAGTGAGATCTGGAGTTCCCACGGCAACAGGAACTAACTCATCCCAGGGCTCTTTGAGTTATCAGTCGGCCCACATTTCACAAAAGTGATCAGCGTGGGCTCGACAGCTCTTAGAGGCCTTCTCTGAAAGCAGGCCATGTATGCACTACCTGGCGGCCCCCCTTTTGGATTCAAACCTCTGGAGCATTCTTGTTTGCGAACACAATTGAATGATCCTCGCTTTTTGTGCTGACTGGGGTGTGGTGTATATGTGGGTTGGCTATAAGCTGCTTAGGGTCTCTGGAGTAAGTGAGTGAGGCCATGGACGTTCAAGATCCCCAGCTCTTATCACTTGTTTGCTATTGCCAGGCTCTGCTTGTCTGAAAAAGGGAGAGCATTCATTATGGGCTAGCACCATGTTAAGCACCATTCTTAAAACACTTCTGAGAGGAAAATGTTACACACGTTTGGTAAATAAGGAAGCTGAGGCTCTGAGACATGAAAGTGATTTGTTTAAAATCACACAGGCTGGGATGTAACTGAGCCACTATGGAACTGAAGTTTGTTTATCTCCAAAGTCTGAGCTTCTACCATACCATGTTACTCCTTGGCAAATACTTTGGCTCCTCTAACTCAGAGGTAGCCTCATGTAGAGAACAAGACTCTGTACAACACTGTGGTAAGTTAGTTCAGATCTTAGAAGATGAATAGCAGGGGAAAACTAAGTCTGCCTTGCTTACCTGAGGATTTTAAAAAGAAGCCCAGTACATTGTCATAGCTTTCTGAGACTATAAGGGATCATCTGCTCTCCTAGGGTGTCCTGGACAAGGAGAGCATCCAGTATCATGCCCTCTTTGGTGGTTCTGAGATTCATTTCTTTATTCAGTCATTGGACGGTGAGGACCTTTTGTGTTGGCACACTGCTTCAGACTAGACTTCTAGAATTCTCAGGGGGCCTTTGCTCAATGCCTTTCTGATGTATTACATCCCTTCTCCATCCCAGCTGTGGAATGTCAAGGTTGCCTGAATTTGAGATTCTAGTTAAGTAAGCCAAAGCAATGTGATCTGGATCTTTGTCCACAAAGTCCCAGGAGCTCCAGAACATAGTCACATCTCTATAGTGGAAACACAGGTAATTGAGATGGGCTGGGCTGTAGACCAAGGTTTCTCAAACTCCATGCTCAGTTTGGTGGGCCAGTGATTTTCCCTTTGGTTTGGGTCTTTATCTAGGGTCAGACTGCTCTGTAGTTGAAGAAGCTTTCTCCTTGAACCTTCAACGGGCAGGAGTTGGAGCCTAGCACACTCTCTAGGATCAATTTTGTTGATATTGCTAAGTATGGGGAACCATTGGGGCAGGAGAGCATTCTAACCACAGAGTCAGGCCTAGTTTCTTATGTTACTTTTGCCACATGTCAGCATCTTGGGCAAGCACATTGGTCACTAAGCGCTTGGGGGAATACAACCTTAGCTTCATTATAGATGTAGATGAGCCTCATTGTGAAGGTGCCTGACATTGAGCCTGACTTAAGAGTAGAAGTTCTGATTTACACCATAACTGTCATCTGTGTTCCTTCCTTTATTGCATTCATAAGCTTCCCATCAGAGTCAGCATACATAAGAAAGTTCTTCCTGGCCTGGTATGATGGTACATGTTTGTAATCCAAGCAACTCGGGAGACTGAGGCAGGAGGATCACAAGTTTGAGACCAGCTCTAACAACTTAGCGAGACCTGTCTGTCTCAAAATAATAAAAAGGGCTGGGGATGTAGCTCAGTGGTAGTGCACCCTGATTTAATGCCTTGTACTACCAAAAGAAAAAAGAAAGAAAAGAAAAGAAAAAGAAAGCAAAATAGTATGTAAGTTGTTCTTCCCTGGCTCTGCAGTGGAGAATCTTCCTCTCCTTGGCAGGCACCTCTCCATCTCTCCTTTCAGTGTCTGGTATTATAGTGGTCATCTCTGATCCTTCTATTGTATCCTAGGAGGACTAGAGAGAACAGAGTCCCTTGTTTTGACCCCTCCCTGCTTCAGTGACAGGAGGACTGCAGAGAGGGATTAGTGAGCTAATTAGAAATGATTGCATCTCTCAGCATTAATTAGCAGTGCTGTGGGCTTGCAGTGTGCACTTTGGAACTGAGCCCCCTGCGGGATAGCATGGCAGGCGGTCCTCTGTCTCTGGGGCCTGCTAGCCCCTCTGTACTGATTAGAAATGATGGAACAGGTTTGGGGTAGGCACATCAAGGGTTTCCATTTCAAGGTATCTTGGGTACCCTGACCTGGCCATCCATGGTCTGACCCAGATACTCTCTATTTATAACTGGGCCTCAGTTTCCTTTCCTATAAAATGGGACCAGTGGATGTCAGAGAAATTCCAATTCCTCCTAGGATAATTCTAGGTAGGACTCCAGGGATTGTACTTCAGGGCTCTTAGCCCTGGAATAAAAGGGTAGTTTAATTGATGAGAAAACAGTATGCCAAATCTGGCCCCTGGGGTGACCTTGAGTTCTAACCAAGAAATGTTCTCTAAAGTTGTATTTCCTGACACCAAAGAGCCTGTGGTCTTGACCTTCTGAAGCAATATCTAGCAATAATTGGAGTGTCTTTGCCCTTTGGACTCATTGAAGACAGCAGATAGAAAGGTATTCGTTGAGCTTGAGCCAACTATAGCCAAAGAGTGGACACTTCCTGGCCTAGCACCCATCTCCTCTCTGATGCTCTTGGGAAGTTCTCTTCCCCAAAGGAGCAGGAGGAAGCATTGTAAAATGAGGGCCAGATCAGGCACTGAACAAAAGGGCTAATGGCTGACAGCAGGTCAGAATGTGTTAGCTCCACTGGGACTCTAGTTATAGTGATTGCTTATTCTGTGCCTTGTTTCTGATTTCTCCATGCAGCTCGGATTGGGAAAATGAAACGGAGGAAGCAAGATGAAGGGCAGGTATGTCCCCTGTGCAACCGCCCCCTGGCAGGATCGGAACAGGAGATGAGTAGGCATGTGGAGCATTGCCTTTCTAAGGTAGAGGGACCGTCACCACCCACCTTCATTCTCCCCTTCCTGCCCTTGACACTAGCTGCTGACTGCCCCCAAATCTGTGGGCTCTTGGGGTCTTCATGTGATCTTAATAGCTTTTCCCTTTTGTTTGCTCTTTCCCTTTGCTTTCACTCTTTCTCACTCCCCACTTGGGCTCCCATGGAAAGTTATTGGGAAGAGGTCCAGGTCTTTGACCTCTAAATTGGTTTTACTTCAGAGGAGCCCTAGAGCTGGAGCCTATATGGTATATAAGCAGGGGCTTGGGCTGTGCCTTCCTTGCAAGCCCTGGGGAGCAGGGGGGGATGGCTTGGACCCTGCATGATCCTGCTCTGCTCTTCACAGAGGGAAGGCTCCTGCATGGCTGAGGATGATGCCGTGGACATCGAGCATGAAAACAGCAACCGCTTTGAGGAGTATGAGTGGTGTGGGCAGAAGCGGATACGGGCCACCACTCTCCTGGAAGGTGGCTTCCGAGGTACAAGCAGCTGACACATAGGCATTGACACTGGTAGACAGGCCTCTGCTGGGTATCCATCTGTTGGGAATTGCAAGGCCAGGGCTGGTGGCTGGTCATCCATTTCACCACGTGGGAACTGCTTCTGGCGGGGCTCCTTTGTGACCGTGCTGCTTGCCTGTGATGTGCATATTAAAATGGATGTATTTGGGTGGGGAAATGGAATTGTGAGACTGCAAGCTAGGAGTGACGAGGGGGGCTCTCAGCCTCGGGTGATGCATTGAAGGTGACAGCCAAGCCGCGTTAGCACCTGCATAAAATATTAAAGGGACGGTTATGCATTTATCACTCCATCCCTCTTAAGGCTGATAAATGAGAATCCAGCAACCTGCTGTACACCTCCAGCACTGGGGGCCCTGAGGGCTTCCAGGCAAACACATTGGATTTTCCTCCTCCTCCTCAGCCCTGTGTCAGGGAAATCAGTTACAGAGGAGAGAGTGAGTTATGGCAAAATTTGACCTCCCATGAGCTTCATTGGTGAATCTAATTTTAACTCTGATCCTATCCCTTCTCCCTGGGCGCCCTCTGCCCTGAAGCAAGAGAGGCCTGGGCCCAGCTGCTCCCTGTTTCCCTTGGGCTCTCCCCAGTTGCTGCAGAGGAGTCTGCAGGGCCCTACCCATCTCCATGTCCTCCTAACTACTTGGAGGGACATGACTTGTAGGACCCCCGAATATCAGTTCAGATAGCAGAATTGGTGGGGTGGCCAAAGTCATTGTCCTTGTCAAACTCCCATCTTGGGCAGGGGAAAAAGGGAGCTGCCTGCCTCCTGGCCTCCAGCTCTTCTCTCTTTCTCTGCACAAGCACAGCTGGCATTGCAGCTTGAGATCATAAAGGGAGCCAGTCTGCTTCCCGTCTGCTTCCTATTTTCTGGAAACATCCTTGGGAGTACTACTGCATATGGTCCATGGGGAATTTTACAGCATCTGGGAAGAAGGTCTTGCCTCCTTGGGGCCATGCTACCTGGGCTCATGTTAAGAAACCTCCAGTGCCATGCATCATAGACTGGCTGTGTGAAGAGGCTGAGAGCCCAGATGGGACATTATGCCTGTGGGCTTCTCTTACATTACCCACGTGTCTGAGACAAGCCAAAACATAAATCAGGAGGGTTAGACCAAACTATTTCCCTGAGCCTGAGCTGGTTGCATTAGTTGCCATTGCATTCTGGTCTTATGTTGGATCTCTGGTGTGTCTTAGGCCCTGAAAAAATGAATAGCAGAGCCTATGAGCCCAGAAATTGTGCAGACAGGTGTGTGGTGGCAGTCTGTACAGCGTCAGTTCCAGAATGCTCTGGGTTAGCTTTGTTGGCAGCTATAACTATTCATATCTTCCATTGCTGTGGCAGCTTCTTAGGTTTCTTGGCACAAAACTGGACCTGATGGCTCCTGGGCACTCAGGGTTTGCGGGGGGTAAAGCTGCACAGGGCTTGCTGTTTCTGTGAAGTCTTTCCCCAGTGCTGGGACATACTTGCCAAGCAGTGTGAGGGGCTCTCAGACCCTGGGTGGGTATCAGTTTTCCCTAAGTGTTTACACTGCGTGGTTGTTTCTTTCAAGAATTCCTGAGGAGAGTTCAAAGGGGGCTTTTCTTTGAGCGATTTGGAGAGCGAGAATGAGAGTGAGACTTGAAGAGGGAACGGCCAGAGGTGCCTTTATCTGCAGAGAATTGCTCCAGCTTTCCTGATAGAAGCTGCTGCTGCCTCTTAAACAGCTTAGTGCAGTCAAAAGACAGGCCGACTTGAAAGGCTGTTTTACAGCGAGATCAACGGGGGCCATGAGGCAGAGAGAGCAGAGCGGAGGAGGCTGGGCCTCCTCGGTGAGGGGAGCTATCAAAGGGAGGCCCTGGCTGATCTGACTGCCTCTGCTCCTGAACCCTGTCTGTAAAAGCTGGCCATCTGTCAGCCTGCCCTTCCTGGCCAGAACCAATAGGCCCAATTCTTGGGGGGTTGGGTGTGGCCCCGCCAGGCGGGCTGGTGTCAGTGCAGCACATTGATCGCCCGCCTGGCGGGCTGGGCCGCAAGCCGGGCAGCGCGTGCTTAATGTGATTGAAAGGCAGTTAAAATGGCGGTGACCTTTTCAGGAGGAATTAGATTGCCTGCCAAGACCGGTTAGAGGGAGTGATAACGCCAGCTGAAGAAGCTGCCCAGCCGACTTCAGAGAGAGGGAGGCAGAGGCAGGATGAGCAGGCGAGCAGCGAGGCCCATTTAAGCTGTGCTGTGCGTGCTGACAGAACAGAGATTGCTGTCCTTGTTAGATATGAAAGAATTGAAGAATTGCAGATAAGTTTCCGTATCCGATCATCCCCTGTCCCTCCTCCCAGACTAGGGCTTCCTCGTCATTCTCAGCAAACCTTCCCACCAGGCCCACCAGTAATTGGGCTGATGGGTCAGATCAGTTACCTTGAGTGAAATCATCTGTGGGATGCAGCAGACAAGCAAGAGTTTTGGAGGAAATGCTTGCTAGAGGGAATGGTCTTCAGGATGGGACCCCTTTGGTTTCTAAGGGGAAGACCCAGATGTTTGAGGCCTGGGAGTGCTTGAAATTGGTATTTTAGGAGAGAATGAAGGACCAGACAGAATAGAAGAGCATCAAGATAGGCCCAGCTGGAAAAAAAGACCAGCTGTTTAAAAGACCCAAGAAAATAGGTAAAAACTTCAAGAGAGTAAGTCAGAAGAAATTTTTGGTATCTAGGAAATACTCTAACCTTTGCAGTTCTAGAGGAGGTCCTCAGACTGCTCAGCTGCTGCTTACTGTCTTAGAGCCTGAGGTTTTCAAACCTGCTGGTGCTGTTTTTATAGAGAGCCACACACAAAGCCCAGTGCTTCTCTTATAAGAGATAAGTAGTTAGAAAAAGATGCTTTTCTGAGGTACCCAACAAAACCTGTGCAAAACAGGGGCCTTCTATGCCAGAGATGCAAGCCGTAGAAAATAAGCTAATTATATAGCCCTACAGACAAACCTGCCCTTACCCTTAGTCAAAAGAGGTATGTAACAGATTAGTCATGGTACACCTTTCTTCTTGTTTCCTAACTCCAGCTACTCTTAGGTCCTAGAGAAGAGACCTATGGTGGTAGTGAGTGAGTTGCCAGTGAGTTCACCTGTTTGGATTTGGGGAATCTATAGTCCCTCACATCTGGAAGAGACAGGCAAAAGAAAGGACATGGGAATGATTGGTTTCAAATAAGAGTGTTGGGATGGAGGAATTTCCCAGGAGGCTACACAAGAAATGGAAGGTGTCTCCAGCTGTGTCATTGAGCCCTAGGTGAAAGCATTGAGCAGGAAGCTCATTTGAATCAAACAGGTGGAGTAGGGAGAGGGAATAAAACATTTTGATATGCATCGTTTCTGCCCTGCCAGATTCTGGTTATAGCTTACATTTTTCTTGAGTTCCTGTCTTAGATTTAGACTGGTTTCAAGCAGCCTGGAATGGAAATCAGAGAGAGAACTACAGGCAAGGTAGCTTTGGTGCAGTTCTTTCAACCATTTGTTACTAAAACTTCAGCATCAGATTATGGGACAAAGGGCTGAGAGGTGTTGTGAATCCAAGGGCACGGGCAAATGGGTCTTGAATACTAAAAATGTCTCCAACTACAGCTGTTCTGCTTGGTCTAGTCACTGGCAGGTGTTGGAACAGCACACAACTGGAGGCTGGCTGGAAATGCAGAGAGGCTTCTAACTCCCCACCACCTTTAGTTATGACTGTCGCCTGTTGGGAGGGGTTAGGAGAGGTGGCAAGGAGCAAGGTACTTTCTGTCCCCTGTGGCAACGGATGGGATTTAATCGCCTTTTGGAACACAATTGTTAAGCTGGGACAGAGGGAATCCAGGCAGAAGGAGTAAGTATCAATGGTTTTAAACGGCGTCTGTCTCTGAGCGTCTTTCCTGACGTGAGGCAGTGAAACGCGTTATCGAGGAGGCCCGGAAAGTGGCTAAGTGCGTTTGACACACGCCAACTCCCTGCCTCCACACTGGATAATTGCATTGTCAACTGTTCAGCGAGGTGGCAGGTGACACTGCAGGCCGATTGATTGTCCCGCATCGCAGCTCCCCAGACTGTCAGCTCCCCAATCGATGGCGTTTACACAAGACACCGTAACTGCATCTGTAACTAATTCCAGTGTAAAACTCCCCGGAAGCGCTGTCCCTGCCCTCCCCTTAGGTGAACATTAGGCTCTAGAGGACCCCCAGACTTCTTTCTCTCTGGGTTCTGGTTTGGTTGAGAGTAGCAGGTGAGGAAATCGATGGCTCCTTTTTTGTGGTTTCAGGTTTCAGGACATAACTACCCCCAGTAAACAGGCATCTCCAGTTTCTCAATCGATCATTTGATCAATTGATTAAATTAACACTGATTTTTTTTTTTTCTCTCCCTTCTCAGTGACCCAGGAAGAAATGAGTTTATGGGAAAAGGGTTGTTTTTATAAAATTTAGACTTATATATCAGTTTGCACTTAACCCTCTCCCTCTGTATTGCTGAGTGTTCACTGGGAAGAGGGATTTTTGTACTGCCCAGCTACCCAGGACCGGGCAAGCCTGGCTCCCACTCTACTGGGCATTGCTCACCATCAGACTTAGTTTGCTTTCTAGCCGTTTTTTTTGCTGCTTTCAGGTGGGGTAGAACCATAGTAAGGGGCCCCTCCTAGTGACTGAGGGATACTCTGAGTCATTTTGGAAGTCCTAGGGACCAAGTTCCTTCCCTGGAAAGCAGCACCAGAAGGAGCAACTTGTGCCAGTGGCACATGCCTCATGCCAGCAGCTCAGGAAGCTGAGGTAGGAGGATCACAAGTTCAAAGCCAGCCTTAGCAACTTAGCGATTCCCTGTCTCAAAATAAAATATGAAAAGGCCTGGGGATGTGGCTCAGTGGTGTTGAGCATTCCTGGGTTCAATCCCTGGTACGAAAAAAAAAGAAAAGAAAAAGTGGTAGCTTGCCTAGTATCCCCTGAGCTTCAGGGAAGAGGAGCCAGAGACTTGGAAAGGAGCTATCTGTGCCATCTTGCCTCTGAGTACTGGCTTGGGATATTCCAGCAGCTGAGAACATAAAACGACTGTGGAGCCTTCCTCTCTAAGCAGGAGGGGGTAAACTGGCGGGGGTGCTGTCTGCATAAAACGGCTTTATGGCCGTTTCTTTTTATTATGATTCTGCCAGAAGTCAGCAAGTGACATTTCATTAAGAAAATAAAGTTTAATGTGCTGGGAAGGAGGTTGGAGCAGACTAGGGCAACACCAGAGTGAAATTCGCAGTGGCAGCCTGTTCTGAACACCTGTGGGGGTAGGGAGAGGTTCCCAACATCTGTCTCAGCTGGGGCATGGAGTAAGGGTCAGAGAAGACTACTCAGACCAAAGGCAGAGAGGTCTTTTCCTTGGCAATAAGATGTCACACTGTCTCACTGGTCATAGGAACAGAAGGTTGCCACCTGGCTGGGAGCTGCAATAGAATAGGGAAGGCTGTGTCATAAGGTTTTTCTAGGCCCAGCCTTACTTCTGGCACAGGGCCCCAGTGCCTCATAGAGCAGTGTTGCCAGTACTGCTCTGGTATGTTATATGGCACCTGCTCTGAGCCTAACCAGCCCTGCTGGACAATGCAGAGATCATAGCAGTGAGTCACACTTGAGACCCTTGCACTTTTTGGTCTAGGGAGGGAGAATGACAATACATGGTAATAAAGGTGAGTAACGCAGTAGTTTGGGTGGACAGCAAGGAAGGGACACATTCGTGTAAGATGTATAAGTACCTGAGCAAGTCACATCCCCCACTGAGTACCTAGAGGTTGGGGAGCCATATCTTGTGTATTCTCCACACTGAGCCAGACAGGATGTGCTCCATAAAGATTGAAAGAATATTAGAGGTGGAAAGTCCTTCCTTCTGCAACTACTCTTTGTAGGCACTACCAGTCAATGATAGAAGGTTGAGCTAAGTCAGACTTGCCAACTGAGTAGGTATTTGTTTTATAGACCCGTAGGAAGAAAGTTATAGGCACATGGGATAGGAAGTACCCAGACATGAAGCGTAAAGCATATAGGATTTGGGAGACCACAGTATCTCTGTTCCCATGGAGGATGGGTCCTGGTCTAAGCAGGGCAGGCAGTTATACTACAGAGGAAAGGACTTCAAGCCACAGGACTGCTTTATATGCTGGGACTTCTGACAGGTATGGGCACCCTGTCTTTCCTGATTTGCCAAGGGAGCCATAGTGGGCTTGGGAGTAGTGTCAGGGTTCTCTGCTTTTTTGCCCACCCACAAGGCAGGGAGAGACTGAGCAGAGGATATGAGGCTGGCTGCCGAGCTTCGTGTACTTTGAAGAGGGGGGTTGGCAGGCTCGGGGGGCACAGGCTATAAGTGAACCTGATAGCTACATTCTGATTGATGGCGGAGTTTGTCTCCCATACTGTCAGAGGGTTTATAGAGGTGCCACTCACCCACAAGGCGGGAATTGCTTGTCAGGACACCTGGCCCTGAACAGGAGACAGAGCTGTAACTTGGTGTTTTCTCAGCTTAATGGCCCCGCTGCTGACCTGCCTGCTGTTCAAGTGTGTCAGTGCCTCCAGGTCGAGGGCAAATGAGGACTGTCAGTGAGGGTGGAGCCTAGGGAATGCCCAGCCTCTTTCTTTCTTTCTCTGTGCTGCTTACCTCTGGGATGAATAGAATCTTTGAGAACAGACTGGAGGAGGATCAGGAAGAAAGTGCATTTCAGGGCTTGGTAGAAGGAGAATATTCCAGATGGAATAAATAGCATAAACAAAGGTCTCAATGTATGGCTGGAACACAGCAAGCAGTCTCCATGTCCATGTGCACAGGGCTTCTGGAGTGAAATGAGAAGAGATTGAGTGTAGAGAAGTAGATGCATATAGATCTTCACAGATTTAATTGAAGAGTCTGAACTTGACTGAGTCACACATGGTTTTGGATAAGGAAAACAAAGGATTAAAACTAAAAGGTAGGCAGGATGAAGGAATACACAAGAGGCTTAAGGACCTATTACAGGACTATTACCTATTTCTCTGATGAAAGTGTAGGCACCTAAGAATGGACAAGACATTTCTGAGATCATTGGGCAGAGTTCTAAAGGCTTCCTTGCTTCTTTAAAGATTTATTTACAGATCCTACTAACCACAGAGTCCCGTCCCCCCTCTCCCCCCCCCGCACCATCCCTGGCAGAGCTGCCATGCTGGCTAGTAGCTATGGTCTGAGACCCATAGAGAAGTAGGGCAATGGCTGGGGGGCAGCTCTATGGTCCCTGACCGTGGGCTTTCAAGAAGAGTGGTTCTGGGAGTCGGACACCATCCAGCAGGTGAGCTGGCTTGGTATGGTCTCATTAACTCACCCTTCCCCATTAGCCAAGAGTCTGCCTGTGGCTTTGTCAAATGAACCTCAAGTGGTCAGCCACTTGGGGTTCAGCCTGGCCCTTGGCCTGCCCCAGCCGAGTCTGGTTGCCTTCATAGACTGCTTTGAGAGGCAGGTGTGCATGCCTGTTCTCCCTTGTCTGTCCATTCCTAATCCCTTTATAACTACACTTGTCCAGGAATCTGGGCTGCGTGAGGTAGAGATGAATAATTAATGTCAGGCGCTTCAGACACCAAATATTTGAACAGCTGCCTAGAGTTTTTGCTGGCAAGGACCTAGCGGCCAAAATCAGGATGTTGGCTTGGGGTCCCGCTCTATGGCTCTGATTGGCCTTAATCAGCCTGTTCTCTTTGATGGACTTGTCACACTGGACAAATGGGACATAAGGAAGCCCAGGTCCTGGTTGGGGCTGGGCCGACCTTTTGCACTTGGATTTCCCTACTTTCTTTTTGCTCTTCCTGGAACTAGAAGGCAGATGGATAACAGGTCTAAGGCAGGGTGTTGCCTGAGGACTTGACATAGCATATGAATGGGCCAATTTATGAACAGAGACCACAGAGAGAAAGAGATATGCATTGTAAAAGGACTGAAATATCAGTCAGGAGCACTTAAGTATCTGATTCGATATATCCCAAGCCCAAGTTTCTATTTGTGCCTCATCTCGCCCTCCTACCTGATCCCTACTTAGAGGCAGCATATAAAGCACACTTGGCCTAGTCTTTTTGGTCCATGGCCCTCCTCATACCCTGCTTCCCACAGGCTCTGGCTTCGTCATGTGCAGCGGCAAAGAGAACCCGGACAGTGATGCTGACTTGGATGTGGATGGGGATGACACTCTGGAGTATGGGAAGCCACAGTATCCTTGGGTCTCTATGGGCAAGGTGGGGCTGGCACAGAAGGCCGTTGGGAATAGGAAAAGTAGCTAGTACCTCTGGTACTTGCCCACACCACCTCCAGGGTCAGAGGCTCAACTTTGGCCGCGGGGAATCCTGAGCATTTTGCCCTCGTGGCTTACAACAAAACTAGGATCCATTGTCCTTGACCACCATGCCAGATACACGGAGGCTGACGTCATCCCCTGCACAGGCGAGGAACCTGGTGAAGCCAAGGAGAGAGAGGCACTCCGGGGCGCAGTCCTAAAGCAAGTGTGGGCACAGGCGTAGCATGATGGGGTGGTGGGATAGAAAGCCCGAGGCAGGGCTCAACCCAGTACCCACCTGCAGGGTTGTCTGTATTCCTTCAGGCTTCACTGTGTTCTTTTTTCTTCTTCTTCTCTAGTGGTGGCCCTCCCAGCACCCGCATCACACCTGAGTTCTCTAAATGGGCCAGTGATGGTAAGTCCTGACCCAGGTTAGCAGTAATGGGTGTGAGAGGGATTTCTAGATAGTGGTGACTGACTCAAGCCCAAGCCCTCATCTGTGCTATCCATTCTGTCCAAAGTATGAGTTGTCCCTGTGTCCCTGCAGAGATGCCATCCACCAGCAATGGTGAAAGCAGCAAGCAGGAGGCCATGCAGAAGACGTGCAAGAACAGTGACATCGAGAAGTGAGTGCGGCTGTGCAGGAGCAGGGTGGCGGGGGTTGCTGGAAGGAAGGCTGCTGCCAGGGCTTCTGGCCCTCCCAAGTGTAGCTGAGTCCTGCTGCCCTGGGCACACGGCCGGCATTGGAGCCCAGCTGGTGCTAAGCGTGACTCTGTGAATTGATCGCTGGGCCACAGCCCTGGGAGCCTTGGTGGAGGGAGGTGCAGTCCGCCTGCCTGCCTGCCCGCTGCGCCGGCCTCCGCCCGGGGAATGTGATGTATGGCCGCCCAGCCCAGCCGGCGCACTTGATTCATCTCCAGTTTCTGTTTCTTAATCGGGAGCTAAATTGGTTTCATTTTTCTTGTCCCGGGTGGCGCTTGCAGTGGGTTTTAGGCAGGAGCATTGGGTCTCATCACTTCTGGTAGGAATTTTTGGCCAGGATTTTCTAGCAGAGGAAAAAGAGATCCATTAGTACTTTACCTAGGGCCGGGAAGCCTCTCTGGCCTCTATCCCTGGGAGCCACAAGGATTTGATATCAGCTGGGCATCTCACTGCCTTTCCAGAAGCCCAAGCAGCACCAGTTCTGGCCCTAGGAGGTGGTATTGTCCAGTATGGGCTGCCTAGAGCTGCAGCCATTGGCCGTTGCTTATCTCCCTGCACCCACCCCACTCCCTCCAGTTGCAGGGTAGGTTCCCTGGGGTTAAAAGGCAGCCTCTTGATTCTAGGACCAGTGTTCCATCTTGCCTCCTGCCAGGAGAGTGGATTGCAGGCCAGTGCAGGGCTGGGTCGGTGGCCCAGGGTCACCTCCCATTTGTTTCCCTCCATTTTGTGTTGTCATAAATTCATTCCAGCCCGTTGTGGTTGATCAGTTTATCTCGGCCGGGGCCGCGAGTGCTGCTGGCATGATGTATGGGCCGCAGCGCAGGGCCCGGCTGCCCATGAATCACTGCAGCTGCTCCGTGTCAGCGCCGGAGCGGGCCGTACAGGTTCGGCGCAACCAGCTTTGGGGGGGAGGAATGACGTATGGATGTTTATTTAATAATTCTCTCCTACTCCAGCTGAGCGGGGCGGGCGGGGCTGTAAGGGGCACCCACCCTCGTCTAGAGGGGCTGCTCATAAATCAGAAAGACAAGATCATTAATCAGGGATGGCGCTTGAGGGGGAGATGGGGGGCCAGAGCCAGTGGCCATCCATGAAGGTGCTACCCACCCAAGGCTGGGGAAAGTACCACCTGTGTGAACACAGGCTCCAGTAGGTAGGGCTCTCAGGATGAGTTGGGGATTGGCTTGCTCCTGTGCAAAGATCACCAGGAGGTCTGGATTAGCCAAGATTAGAGCCCTTCTGTCCCCATGACTTCTGTCTTCCTCATCCACAAAGTATGGAATCCTGCCCTAGATCTGTTCCATGTTCCACGGAAGGGGAAAGGCAGGATGCTATGTCTTCCTCTGGGAATCTGACCTCCTCTTGTCCTGGAGGGGTTCAGGAATAGCTCACAACCAAGCTGGGTCTGGGGCTGGAGGACTGGGTATTTCACCAGAGCAAAGGTTAGAGGCCAGGTGTGTGCTGAGCAAATCTAGGACAGGTGGGCTTTGGAGCTGTATCTTGGCCTATGATGTGGCCTTGGAGTTCTTAGGCATTTGTTTCCCATCTTTGAAATTCCTAGCATGGGTCTTGGAGGAGAAGGGAGCACAACTCCCCATCCTTATCAGGAGTTTATTAGCAGCAATTGAGATGGAGAGGGTACATATGGCATCAGGCAGAATGCCAGGGAAGGAGCCAGCTATGCAGGTACTTGTGAGGGTAGGGTGAAGACTTTCCAGAGCCAGGAGACTGAGTGGGAATCAGTATGCTGGAGACAGCCTTTCCCAGCATCCCTGGAGAAGCAAGGCCTAAAGAATCATGGATCCATGAGCTGGTGGATCTAGAGCACTCCCAGTGCAGGAACACAGACCACTAGGGAATTATATTCTGTGTTGCTTCTAGCACCCTAAAAGAAAAAAATTAGAGATTGAAGTTTGTTGTTGCCCATCAAATGTTACCACTTCCCTTCTTACACCCCAAGGACTACTTGTATCTAACAGTAATAAGCCACTTCAAGCTTTCTGGACCATTGTCTCGCCCAAGCTGGCAGAACAGGCACCCCCAGGATATTGTGCATGCCCACGCCACACCTCACTGTGTTTCTACCTGTGGCCTCCCTACTGTTCTGTCCTACATTTCTCATTCTTATTAAATGCCTGTGGAACCTTAGCTGTTTTATCACACCCTTCTTCTAATATCCTCCCAATTCCCATCACCCATGAGATAGTTCAGTTTCTGACTGTGGAATTGAGTTGCCAGACAAGTGTGCTCTGTCACTTTAGCAACTTTTGCCTACCTACAAGTGAGCCTTCCAGCCCAACTGAACTCTTAGGCCTCTTGGTCTTTATTTCTACTGTTCCCTTAGCCTGGAGATTCATCTCCTTATAAACCAGTATAGAGTAACAGTCAGTCACACAGTTGACCACAGGATCAGTCTGCCACCTTGGAATCCCATCTCCCCAAATCTTTGTGAACATTGGGTTGCTATTTAATTTTTTAGTGCTTTAGTTTCTTCATGTATAGAAATGGGAATATTAGAACCTTCTCACAAGGTTTTTATGAGGTGTAAATAGGATAATAATTATAGTTCCTCAGTATAATCCCTGGCATTTAGTAAGTGCTTAATAAATTTTAGCTATTTTCTTTGTATTATCATCATACTTATTCCCTAAGGCCATCCCCAGTACAGTTTTTCTACTCTTCCAGCAGGTATTTTTCTCCCTCTGTGAGTAGCCCTATTCACTAAGTGTTTTAGGAGGGGCAGGAGGGATCCTTGAAGAGTCCTAACTATTCCCTGTTCAGCAGTATGACCGGTCTTGGAAAAGTCATAGGGACCTTGTGGTACAGGGCTTGGACAACAGGCTGAGGCTTACCAGGGTATCAAATGGGCCTAGGAATAAAAAACAAGGAGCCCTCGAGGGAAGCCAGGCTTATGGCAAAGGGACCTAGATTATATGGGATCTGTCCAGCCCCACATCTCTCTTTCCCTAGAGGTTGGACTAGCTCTTCATTTTGCAAATGTTTACTCGTGCTCAGATGCCAGAAGTGGGGCTTATGTCCAGAGTAAATACTGGCCAAGTGAGCAGCCTGCCCTCAGGGAACTCAGTCTAGTGGAGGACACAAAGATCTTTGCAGTTAGATTGTTGGGGTCGAGTTGGATAAAGGGTGCCCGAAATTCCCCAGTAGTGGTACTGATGATGAAGCAGAACGGTGAGTTTGGGCCAGGGGGTTGGGAGGACCCAGAGGAAACAAAGTGCAAAGAGGCCAAGAGACTGGGAAAGGGTGGTACACTTGGAGACGATGCCCAGTTTGTGTGGATAGGCAGGGTGATGAGGAGTACAGGCTGACAGGGCCAGAGTGAGAAGAAATGTTTTAGAGCTTTAGTCTGAGAGACATTGAAATGTTGGAGTAAAAATGGTCATATTTGCTTTCACTATGTAAGTTCTAGGTGCTGGAAAGATGGTATGGAGATAAAGGACTAGAGTGGGGAAGTTATTTGCTGCTCAGGTTAGTGGAGTTATCCATAGAATAGTCTAGGAGGCCCAACCAGAAATGGTAAAGGTGGAAGGAAGGGAGTGATTCCAGAGGTATTAGGAGAGAAGTGAGAGATTTTTGAAGTTGAAAATGACTCAGAATGATTAAGAATGGTTTTCAGGTATCTGGTTCGGAAATTCGTCAGGTGGAGATGGAGGAACAAAGAGTGGGTTTAGTTTTGAAGTGGGGTTTGCAGCTATGGGGCATTGGAGAAAGAGCATGTGGGATGTCTAGGAAACACATGTGGTTCTGGATTAAAGGAGGTACAGGCTGGAGGTTCAGATTGGGGATATCAGCCTACTACCCAACTGTACATCTTCTTTATAGAATCACTGAAGATTCAGCTGTGACCACATTTGAGGCCCTGAAGGCTCGGGTTAGGGAGCTTGAACGGCAGCTATCTCGGGGGGACCGATACAAATGCCTCATCTGCATGGTAAGTAAGAGGGAATTTGGGGTGCCCTTGGTCAGGCTTTAGTGCTCTGGAGTGTTGGAAAGGGTCACTGCAACTATGATCTACACTCTTTGAAGGGTGTTCCTGCCTCAGTGATTCCTTCTCTGCCCACCTTTTCCCTAGGACTCATATTCAATGCCCCTAACGTCAATCCAGTGTTGGCATGTGCACTGCGAGGAATGCTGGCTGCGGACCCTGGTGAGGTGGTGTGGAAGTTGGGTAGTGGGATGTTGTTTGGGGGGGCACTGCCCGGGTGTTCATGCCTTTGCTTGTACCTGCTTAGGGGAGGTGGGCAGTGAGGGATAAGGAAGAACAGGAGCATAGAACAGAGCCAGGGCCAGCATATCTACCGTACCCTCCACCCCAAAAATCACTGTATTCTTTGCCCCCCACCTCAGGTTTATTAAATTCTCCCCTCCATGGGCTCACTACTCCTTTCCACCACCCATGCCCCTAGAAGGCCCACCACATCATACATATTGGTGAGACCCCAGGTCAGGAGGAGGCTTGTGGGTAAGCAGGACCAGGGCCTCAGCCCCTCCCCCTCCCATTACTAAGCTCCTTCTGCTCCTGGCCCTGTTCTTCGCTCAGGAGCAGCCATTAAAATGTCGCCCGGAGACAGCAATAAAAGGCCCGGACGTGGGCTCTGTGTCCTGATCAAAGGCCGCATGTAATCTCGTTAGGGCCGCGGCAGCCACAGCTGGACCCAGCCTTGTTCTCATTACCGGGGCTCCCGCTGCGGGGCTGGCCAGGCGGTTTGATCCTGGCGTCCCCCCAACACAGGAGCGTGCCTGCCTGCTCAGAGGCCGCCCATGCATCCCCAGCCTGGCTGACACAACCAGAATCCCAGCACACACTAGTGCAGAGAGACGTGGCTGTAGGCCCAAGTGCTCACATGGATAAATGTGGCACATGTCTGATCATAGCCCTCTTCCCCCTGCAGGGTGCCAAGAAGCTCTGCCCTCAGTGCAACACCATCACAGCGCCTGGAGACCTTCGGAGGATCTACTTGTGAGCTAGCCACCCAGCAGGCCTTGCCTCGAGCAGCCTCATCTGCCCCCAGCCTCTGTGACAGTGACCCTCTCCCCTTGTACATACTTGCACACAGGTTCCCCGTGTACATATATTCACATGCGCGCACACAAGCATACACACACACAGGACTCTGGAGCCAGAGTGGAGGCTGAGGCCCAGGCCTTGCCTGCTGGCTCCCACCAAGCCTGAGAACCATACCCATCCGGGCCTCTGTTCCCAGGGTGGAGCAGGGAGGTAGGGGTGGGGAGTAGAGGGGCAAGGCTCCTGAGATACAGCTCCCAGAAGGACAGACAGACATGCAAACACCAGACTGAAGCACATGTAATATAGACCATGTATGTTTACAATGTTGTGTATAAATGGGACAACTCCTTTGCTCTCCATGCCCCCACCTTTGGTTGTATTATTTTCTTCTGTTTTTTTAAGAACTCTGGAAGCAGTGCCTCCTTCAGGGCTGGCTGGGGGCTCGGCCCAACCACCTCTTAGGGTATCTGCCTCTTCCTCTCCCGTGGCGTCCCTTCCCTCTCCCATGTGCTCGGTGTTCAGTGGTGTATATTTCTTCTCCCAGACATGGGGTACATGCCCTGAGGGACATGACCCTCTCCTTAGTCTTAGCTCATAGGGCTCTTCATAAGGAGTTGAGGGTGGGGCAGGAAGTAGGTCCCGAGCTGAAGCAGAAGCTGAGGTCGGAGCTGACTGAAGGCGCCCCTGGCTGCACAGCCTTCTGCTAAGAACCATTCCTGGGAGTAGAGATGCTGTTCCCAGGGAAAAGTTGTCTCCTTGCCCCTCCTGTGGGCCCCATGGTGTGATGCTGTGTCTGTATATTCTATACAAAGGTACTTGTCCTTTCCCTTTGTAAACTACATTTGACATGGATTAAACCAGTATAAACAGCTGTTGCCTGTGTATATGTATGGGGGATAGGGAGTTGATAGTAGGGGTTGGACTGAGGCAGTTCAGGGGTTAATTCTAGGCAGCAGTATTGGGGAGAGGACTTAGATGTAGGTGTGTGTAGAGCCATACAGTGTTGGTCTGCTTAGGGGCCCTGGAGCATTCCAGCATGAGTGGGGGTGGGGCTAGAGATCTGGGCTCCTGGCTATTGATGGGTAGGGGCTCTAGGTTAATTCCTTATTGATGCAGAATCGTCAGCTCATTAATCATAGAAGAGGTCAGAGCTTGGGGGTACAGAGGGGATGCAAGCTCTATCCCCCAACCTAGGGCAGGAGCAACTGCAGGCTTGGGTTAAAAACCCAAGCCCCAGGTTTCTGTTCCTTTCTAGTGCCCACAAGCCTGGTGTAGGTAACTGCCTAGAGCCCCAAATTAAACAGTAGAAACTCCTGCTATCCAAGATGGACTCTCAAGGAACTAGAGCTAGGCCTCTAGCACTGGCTGCAGAGCACTTTGTTGGTCACTCCCTCAACTCCCCACTGCTGCTTAGGTAGACCAGCATCCTGGATGCCTCTCAGGCAAGTGCAGACCAGTCCTTGCCCACAACAGAAAGATGTCTTAAGAAAAATAGATTCTGGGAGCAGGGACTGTGGTAGAGTGCTTGCATGGCACATGGGAGGCACTGGGTTTGATCCTCAGCACTACATAAAAACAAATAAATGAAGGTATTTTAAAAAGTAATCATAGTCGTTGTAATTAAAAAAATAAATTGATAAATTCTGTTAAAATTCAAGAGCCCAGAGTCTTTCCATGACTCCAGACTCCTTGACACATTCTTACAGCCAGGCCTACCTCCCATCTCCCCATATCCCATTAGACACCCACCTCTAGAATGCCCACAGAGCATCATCAGGTCTTGGCAGCTCTTGCCTCCTCCTGCACCCAGAGGAAATGCAGATGACAGGCCACCCTTGGTTGGAGCCCAGCAAAGGCCTCACTGCCCCATGCCTGCTTGTTGGCTCCAAATATCCTGAACATAGATCCTGGGGCCCAAGGTCACAGGGAATGTATATATATAGTCCCCGAGGAAGTAGAGCAGCCCCACTGATGGCTGAGGGTCTGTAAAAGAAGCAGGCTTGAAAGTGGGCCTTCTGGAGGTAAGGATGATGGCAAGAACAGATTCCAGTCAGGCTAACTTCTTTTCTATCTCTATTCCCTCTCTCCTCTACCTGGGACTCAGTAGGTCCATAATAGCTGGTTACCCCCACCCTAGAGGCCATGTGCTCTCTAATAGGCACATTAACCCACGGGAAGGGCATTCTGCTGAAGCCAGCCATGCTGTTGGATCTTCGAGCTGTCTCATGGCACAGGCGGCACTGCCACCTGTTGGCCATGGCTAGGAATGCAGCCACACAGCCTAGGAATCAGCAACAGTAGTAGGGACTCCCAGAGGACTGATGTCCTGCAGGCAGAACTTGGCCCCAGGGAGAGGGAATCCATCACCCCTAAGAATACCAGGGATCAGCTCCAACCCAGAGTTTTCCAGCCATTGCTTCACTGCCTGCTAAACTTTGAAAGCCTATCCTTGACCCCCAGGCCTCTTGATTACCACAACAAATTCATTCAACTAATATTTATTGAATACCTATATGCCAGCACTGTGTAGCAGTGGCTCTCAGAATGATAGATGGAACAGAATTGTAAGGCTGAAGGCACTTTACCTTGCAGGCTGCAATGATACCATCTCCTTGAAAGGAGTATCAAATGAGTCTCCTTTCAAGGAGATGGTATCATTTCAGCCAAAACTCCCTTTACCCTGGTTCTGGTTTTTAGGACTCCAGAGTTAACTTGCCACAGCTCCTACTGTAGCACTGCTGTCTCACTGCTTCCCACTCCAGCTGCCCCTTACAGACAGCTCAACTTTCCCAGACACAGTGGCTTCCTAGCAAAATGTGGAGGAGCTGGGCAGCACAAACCCCTGCATCCTCAGCTAATCCGGCATCTACCTCAGACTCCTGGGCTATGAGGTCAGAGAAGCTTCTCTGAATGAATGGGCAAGTGGGATTCATGCTTTATGTTGTGGGACTTTGCCCTTCTGGAGCAGAGATCAAAGGGGCCCCCTTCATAGTCTGACCCTACCCTCTGGCACCTCCCCAATAAAGCTCACCTTCCAGTCAGAAAATCAACTCAACTCTGGCAACAAGTATAAAGTTTCCATTGTGCAAGGTGATTAAGTTCTAGAGATCTATATAATACTGCACCTATAGTTAACAATAGGTGTTATTTAATAAGTGTATTACATATACTTGGAACTTTATGTTAAGAGAGTAGATCCCATGTTAAGGGTTCTTATCACAATTTTTTAAAAATATTTATTTTTTAGTTTTAGGTGGACACAATATATTTATTTTATTTTTATGTGGTGTTGAGAATCGATCCCAGTGCCTCACGCATGCTAGGCGAGCACGCTACCACTTGAGCCATTCCCCAGCCTCACAACTTTTTTTTTTTTAAATCAACTCTGAGGTTCATCCTCAATCCCCTCCTCCCCTGCTTTTTTAACCCTTTACAGGCTGAATGCCACAGGAATCAGCTGCCTGACTGGTGCACTTGTTTGAATAATCAACTACAAGGTTCCACAGAAACCTACCCAGGCATTCCTGCCCGCTAGGACCACTAGAAGTCCCCAGGACAGACATAGGTTGTGGGAGGTCAGGCATTTATTTCTGGAGTAGGACCTGAGTACTGGACACAACTGCGCATGAAGTCAACACAAAGGCTTGTGTAGTAAGTAGGGTAGTCTCGTAGGTGGCTGACATGTGCAGATGACACAAAGTCCACAGAGCGTACCAGGACCCGGTGGGCCAGGCGTGCCTCCACCATGCGTTCCACATCCCTGGCCAGGACAATCTCATCTGCCTTCGAGTAAAGGTAGAGCTCAGGCCAGTGGGATTCTGCATTCCGTAGCTTATCATAGAAGCGGGTGTGGAAGAGGCCAGTGAGTGGAGCAAGCAGGATATGGAACAGGACTGCCACCAGGGTGAAAGCCACCAGGAGCAATAGGCGCATCAAAGCATGCTGATGTTCTAGGATTACTGCCAGGGCCCGCAGGGCCCCTACCAAGTTGTTATCACCAGGACCACTGTCAAAAATGGTGCCCACCACACGCAGGTGGCAGAAGCGCCGATGGGTTTGCAGGAGCTCCAACACGTAGCGGTAAAGCATGACGCCAGCATTGCTGAAGACGTGGAAGAGCAGGGGCTCCCTCTCAATCTCATAATCAAAGAGTAGCTCAAGCAGCTTCTGGGCCAACAAACGAAGTGAAGGGATGCCCAGGGACTCTGAGAAGAAGACCATGTGCCATGGGGCTGTGTATCGGATCACGATGCAGCCCTGGGGAGAGAAGAGAAGCCTGATCAATCCCCAGGGATGCAGTGGGGGTAGTGAGCACAAGATACATCCGAAAGGCCCAGTAACCCCAACTTCCATAGAGCCATGGAATCCAGCAAAGCTCTAGGCCCTGCTTCAGCCTGAGCACCAGCTCACTACTCACAGACACAGGTACTTTGCAGGAGTGGAAAGTATACTCAAGGTCCATTTTTGGACTCATGGCTTCATGGTGACTACGCCTCTGGGATGGTATATGAGGCCTGGAGATGAGCACGTTTTGAAAGTGACCAGAACATCTCTTCTCGTACTGCAAGCCTACCCCAGACCTTGTACATTTAAAGTCTCACTGCTTGCCTATATTTTGCTGCAACGACTTCTCTCCATTCTCCCTACCTCCCAGACACAACACCTAAGACAGCCTACAAGCCCCCAGCCTCGACTACCAGAGGCCACTTCTGAGCCAGACCCTCATGGCATCCATCTCTAGTCACTGTCATCTCCCTCTTCCCACACCAAGGACCGGAAAACAAAATCCATACTGTCTGGTTTCAGGAGCCTGACCCCCAAATCTGTCTGGTTCCCAAGCCTAGGATCACTCCTCAGACTCCCCCTGAAATTCCAAATACAGTAAATACTATTCCTCAAATTCTAAAATCTGGGCCCAAACTCCCTTTAGGCTTCTGGACACCTCACTGCCTGAGCCAAGTGTACCTCAAAACCTCCGGACAGGTCCCCTTCTAGGCCTATTGAAAAAGGCCCTGCCTGGGGCCTAATCCCTCTTCTAAACCTATTCTAGAGACAAAGTACCCTTTGTCATGGGGATCTGAGATAGGCAGGCTCTGGGGTCAGACAGGTCTGAATTTAATTCCTGGTCCTAGCACTTAACAACAGTATGAATAAAGAACAATTTACTTCTTTCTGTGTCTGGGTCCCCATCTATTATTGGGATAACACCCATCTCCTAAGGTTATGGTGGAAATTAAATGAGAAAAAAAAGTATGTTAAGTGACCAAAACAACACATGGCACACAGTAAACTCTCAACCAACAGCTGTAACAATCATCAGTGATGATTACAATAACCAGGAGAAAATTATGTGGACACAGTTCTTAAATGACCCACAGCCAAATGGATGGTCAGCCAGGTTGCCTCCTATCACCCAGACCTGCTAGGTCTGGAGGCTCCCAACACTCTAGGGCTTGGGGAGTTACTTAAGGCCACCCATACTCCCAAATGGTCAAATCTAATAGAGGCCTGTCCATCCTCATCACACTTTTCTCCTGGCAGCACCTGAGGATTACACACTCCTAGAAATATTTCCTTGCAACCCAGTCCCTTCAGTTGGTTTAAAAAAAAAAAAAAAGGAACATTTTTAATCATGAAAAAAGGGGCTGGTCTGGATATAGAGGCCTAAGGAACACAACAACAACAACAACAACAAAAACTAGATACAATGTAGATACAATGTGTAATCCTGGATTGAATCTTGGTTTGAGCAAATCAGTTGTAAAGAACACTTTGAGGGCAATTTGGGCATCTGAACATGGATTGGAAACTAGAAGTGATGAAAATTAATTAACATGAGAAGGTGGAAAGCATGATCTTTAAAAAGTAGGCTTCAAAATGGTACACTTGATAGATCTCATCCAGGCAAAGAGAAGATCCAGAAAAAACCTGGAAAGAGCTACCCTATGGTATAAACCGAGGTCATCTCCAGGCGGTAGAATATGATGTTTTAATTTTCTTTTAAATAATGAAGGTTGTCTCCCTCTGGAGATGGCCCTGCATTCTCCCTTGAATGTTCCTCTGCTTTCCATAGTAAACCTTTGTCTGTGTCTCTAAAAAGAAATTAAATATTGGAGTTTGGGATTGGAGAAGTTTTTCTCGGCACCCATCCTGTTCTCCTCCTACCAGGGAATAAAGTCAGTCCCCTCCTTGTCAAGGCTGCCACTCCACCAGCCTTGTACCTTCAGCCCCTCTGCGTGCCCTGGAATCTTGCCTCACACTTTCTCCCTCACACTTTCTGCCCACATAACATCTTCCTTCCCTCACCTACAATGGTCTGTTTCTCTGTTGATTCTGTCATGTCCTCCTGGGCTTTCTTGTCCTCCCTTGGCTCCATTCCTCCTTTCCTCACAGAATTCTCTTCATCTTCTACTTCTTTAAGTCTGGTTTCCTTAGGGCTATCCTAGCCCTCTTCTTTCCCTCTCTACACTCCTGAGGGATCTCGTCTACCCCAGAAACTGTGGATTCTCTTCTAGTGTTCCTGTCTCAAAAACATACCTCCCCCTACCCAGAACATGCTCCCTCCTCTCCATCCCTGTGCCCACTCCTAATCTCTTATGAGCTACCTTCCTATCTCATGACAAGCTCCTCCACCCATCACCTTCCTTCTACCTACACCACTAGCCCTAAGGTCCTGACCACCCTGTCCTGGGTCACTGCACCCTTTCCAAAGTTTCTCCTGGCTTCTAGCCCCAGCACCTCCAATCTTTCCCCTACTCTGCAGTTAGGTGCTTTCTGAATGGCAAATCTAACATTGTGCCCCTGTTTAAATCACCTTGAAAACCCTCCCCCAACCAAGCCTTACCTCTAGACATTTGCACTTTCATTCTCTGTACTGAGCACACTCAATCACTCCTATTCTTCTGCCTGCCCTCAAAGATATTTTTTTTTAAATATTTTTAGTTGTAGGTGGACACAATACCTTTATTTTGTTTATTTAGTTTCTTATGTGGTGCTGAGGATCAAACCCAGTGCCTTATGCATGCTAGGCAAGTACTTTACCACTGAGCCACAACCCCAGCCGCCCTCAAAGATCTTATTCTAATGAAGAAGCTAGACCAAGCCTAGCCAGCGAGTGGAGCTCAGGAGCTGAGATAACCTGAGGAGTGAGGCAGCCTGCAAAAGGTGGGCCAGGCTTATTGGCTGAGAGGAGGCTTCAAACTCAAAACTACTTTTCTCCCCCAATCCTTCTCCTGTTCCAGGGCTTCCATGCTGCTCAGGCATGGCAGACGCTGGTCAGTGGAAGGAAACCAAGAAAAGGGGCACCAGCTGGCCCTTCTCCCAGGTGACTCCTACTCCTTTGCCTGGGCCTTCCAGCTGGCATCTGGAGCTGTCTAAACCAATACCCCTGCCAAAGGTTGCTTTGGGGAGACCTGCCCTGAGGAGGGCAGAGAAGAGTCAGAGACCAAAGACATAAAAGGGCTTCCAGGGCCAGGGTTGTGGCTAAGTAGTAGAGTGCTTGCCTAGGACATATGAGGCACTGAGTTCGATTCTCAGCACCAATAAAATAAATAATAAAAAAAGAGTCCATCTACAACTAATTTTTTTTTTTTAAAAAAGGGCTTCCAAAATATAACCAGGCTTTCCTAGGGCCCTCTCCAGTTACCACCTCTACAGTCAACTCTTAGTGCATCCTGAGAAGCCTCATGACTCCTCCAAGAGGCCCTGTGACTCTGGGAATGTGAAAAGGTACTATGGGCAAAAAAGGAGAAAGTCCTGGGAGCAGGAACTATGCTTGGCACACCAGTCAACAGGAATTAAGGCCTGGGCTGATTCCACCAGTGTGGACAACATTAAGGCTGCCCACCGCAGGATTCAAGGAGAGAAGCAGGTCAGGGGACTGAAGGAGCTAGACTGGGACACAAAGCTGGCAGCAAAGCGGGGGATAATCCTGCCAAAGTCCCCATGACCCCATCATCTTCCTCACAGGCTGTTCTTAACACTATTCCTAGGCCTGTCACAGAACGGGTCAGCTTTCACTGCAGCCCAGAGGTGAGGCAGCCAGAGGCTTGGAGTTCCCCATAGAGTACCCAGAGGTGGCAGGATCCCAACATCTGAATATCCATATGCCTGCAGTACTCACCCTTTCATGGTAGATGGCGCTGTACTTGGCAAGGTTCTTGTCCCTGCAGCCACCCCAGCCCAAGAGAATCACCACAGGCAGTCGCGGCCCTGCCTCCTTCCCACCTTGTCTGGCGTTGTTCTCTGAAACACAGATGTGGACTGTCAACACGGGAGGTAGGATAGGGGTTCTGACTGACCCAAAGCCAACACCACTGTGGCTGAAGGCAGGAAATCAACAGGTGCCAGGCCCAGGCATCCCACCAGCCTCTCTGCTTCAGGCTCCCATGAGGCTCCTGCCCCAGTCCTGCCCTGACTGCCTTTCTACAGATCTCTCAGGAAGAACTGTGGCATCACTAGAAAGCTCTCTTGAGGGCACATTTCTTTAGTGATTCAAAGACAGCCCAGGAGGGGAAAGTGAACACCTTCTCCAGGTAACTTCCCTTTCCAACCAGCGATCAGCAAACATTAGTCCAATCAGGCCCACCACCTTTGTACAGTCTATAAGCTAAAATGACTTTTAAATTTTTAAATGGTTAAAAAATCAAAATAATAATATTTTTGTGACATATGACAATTATATAAAATTTAAATTTGTGTGGGCCTGGGGTGGTGGCTCAGCGGTAGAGTGTTTGCCTGGCACATGTGAGGCCCTAGGTTCAATTCTCAGAACCACATATGAATAAATGAATAAAATAAAGGTCCATCAATGACTAAAAAATATTTTTTAAAAAATTTAAATTTGTGTGTCCACATATAAACTTTAATAGGAATATAGCCATATCATCCAATTTATTTTACTCTCTATGGCTACTTTCATACTAAAACGTAATTACAACAGAGAGTGTATGGCTCACAGAGTCTAAAATATTAATGGCCTTCACAGAAAATGTTTGCCAGGGGCTAGGAATATAGCTTAGTTGGTACAGTGCTTGTTTTGCACACATAAGGCCATGGATTCAATCCCCAGCACCACAAAATATATATATTTAATATGTATATACACATAAAATAATGATACTGTGTTCATCTACAACTAAAAAATTAAATAAATTTTTAATTTTAAATAAATTTTAATTTTAAATAAGATATTTAAAATTTTAAATAAATTTTAAAGTTTGCCAAGCTGGATGCAGTGGCGCACACCTGTAATTACAGTGCCTCAGGAGGCTGAGACAGGAGGATCACAAGTTCAAAGCTAGCCTCAGCAAAAAGTGAGACCCTTCTTCTAATAAAATACAAAATCGAGCTGGGGATATGGCTGAGTGCCCGAGTTCAATCTCTGGTACCAAAAAAAAAAAAAAAGTTTGCCAGCTTCAGTCTCTGCTTTAATTCTAAGAGTTGATGGGAAAAAAAAGGTCTTAAGAGGAGCAATGGATAGCACAGTGTAAACAGGAACATGAGGCAGAACCTTCCTTGGGTGATGTGCTGGCAGGCATGAGCCAGCTGTCTCTGATGGCTGCTGAAGGGCCTCCTGCAACTTTGTCTAACAGAACTCACCTCGTTTCCTTGCAAAGTGAATGCCCACTCCCCAGAAGGACATCTGTGCAAGGACTGTCTGTAGCTAGATAGTCACCCCCTGAAAGGGTGGGATGTACTTTTGCAAGGACCAAGTCACTTGGCTGTGCTCAGCTGCCATCCTGAAATTTATGGATGCTGGTGGTGACCTGGCAACAGTAAATTTCAAGGCTAGTTAAGAGGATGGTAAATATAAATCACTAACCTTTGGACAAAAGGAAGACAACAATTTCCTGTGGAAATTAATGTGATTGAAAAGTTCAATGTTCCTGCTCTCTAGTAGTGGTGACTCTGGCCTTCGGAGATTAACTGCCCGCACCCACCGGGATCCTGGGCCCAATGCAATTCAGGCTAGAGCAGAGATTGCCAGTGTCTCAGTCCACTGCTGACACCTGCCAACCCTCCCAGCTGCCACCAACATTGGCCTTGGCCCTGCTCTAACTATCTAAATATTCTCACTGCCTTTCTCAGCCTGACGTTCCCCTGTCTTTTGCCAGGACAGCTCTTCGCCTGCCCTGGCCTTTCTGGTGGAGATACATAAAGTGGGGCCATGAAGCTCAGACTGAGGTAGTCTCCTGGGTAGTAATCAACAGGTACTGTTTGGAACTGCTGAATCTCTGAGGCCACACTACTAGATTTCCGAGAACCTGCCTTGAGAGGCTCACTCACCTCTCTGTGTAGCCGCCTTAGAATAGTCTCCCCTTCCTCAGCCTATAGAAGTTCCCCCAAGATACCAGCAAAGGGCTTTGAGATTTATCTCAAGAACAGAGAAGGCAGCTAAGGGAGGTCACATTCACTGGTGGCTAAAGGAAGATAGGGCCAGCACCCATAAGCAGAGAGGGGCATTCTACATTCAGAGAAGGTTTGAGCAGGTTCTGCTGGGCCTGCCCCTTCCCATTCTGAGATGTGTAACTTTGCTTTGTTCCAGTGCAGGTGTTCCTGGCACCCTTGACAGGAACGACTCTCTCCCTCAAGAACTGGCATCCTGGACATTCTGACTATTTCCATATCCAAAGATTTCCCTGATGTTCTTAAAGGGGTGGAACCAGGCCCTGGGGATTGCCCCAAGGGGCTCATCCTACCAGGGACACCTCCTGCTCCCTGACACATGCTCTCCATGCCCATCCCCGACTCAAAGGCTTGTCATGACCTTCTCCCTGCTGGAGCCACATTTGCCCCTTCTGATTCTATAAATAAGGTGTTACAGTCCCAGAAAATCAAAAAATACGCCTTGGAAACATGTCTGGGAGAGTGATGGTGACCAGGAAAGGTCTCCCAAAGGAAGACCCATTTGCTGCAGTAGCCTTGAAGGCCCAGTAGGAATGTGCTGGGTGGACAGGGGACATGAGCAGAGCCAGGGAGTTGTGGAGATATTATAGGTCACCTATGGCACAGTATGTAGTCCTGGGGCTGGAATCCCAGAGGAGGGAGTAACAGTAATTGTAAGAGCTGCCAAGAACAGGACTGGGGCCTGATCCTGCATAGGAGCCAGGGTTGTCTACTCTACAGCAGTGGAGAGCAAATAAAAGATTATGAAATGGGGAAAGTGGCATGATCCAATCTGTATGAATTAAGACTTACAAAACTAATGTTGTTTAATGTCTGTCTCTCTCTGCCCTTAACCAGTAGGTTCTATGGAGGCAGGAAACTCTTTATGGCCATGCTCCCAATGGTCAGCAAAATGGCTGGCCCATAACTCAGAAGTTAAGTGCTGAGTGAATGAACACATGGGTGCAAATCGAAGGATGGATCCCAGTAGAAAGAGCTGGCATTCTCATTCCCCATTGCCCTTTCCAGAGAAATAAAAATAACTGTTACAGCTATTGTTGTTTATTGCCACATCCAGACCACCACTCCTCCACCCTCTCATGCCATCCCCTGCTTCTCTCCTGCTCACCCCACGGTCATAACACTCTTTTCCCCTCTTGCTACAGACTCTCCTGATCTCTGGCAACTAATCTGTAAGAACTAAAGACTTTGGTCTCTGGCTTGGTCTCCTACTTTATTCAAAGACTTTCCATGACTTTGCACAAGCAATCAAGTACAAGTCCACTTTGTGCCAAAATCATCACAAAACTCTCTCAATGAAAAGAGCTAACACAGAGAATATTATGCACCAGGTGCTATTCTACGAATTCGGCATTTGTACTTATCAATTCATTTAATCATCAACATTTAACTGTTTAATCATGACAACCCTAGAAACAAGGAACTGTTATTCTCCTTTTGCAAATGAGAACCTGAGACACAGAAATGGTAAATTACACACTCAAGGTTACATAATTAATAAGTACTAAAACTGGAATCTTGGGGCTGGGGATGTGGCTCAAGCGGTAGCGCACGCTCGCCTGGCATGCGTGCGGCCTGGGTTCGATCCTCAGCACCACATACCAACAAAGATGTTGTGTCTGCCGAAAAACTAAAAAAAAAAAAAAAAAAAAAATTAAAAAATTCTCTCTCTCTCTCTCTCTCTCTCTCTCTCTCTGTCTGTCTCTCCTCTCTCTTTAAAAAAAATAAAAATAAAACTGGAATCTGTAAAGATCAGCTTGTATTCACTATCCTAGATGGTCTAAACTGCTTCAGCTCCAAAACTGTACACAAAGATGCCTCCTATATATCAAAAGACCCAACATTGTCCTCATCCACTTGCTCCCCCTTAGGGGACTGGCCACTCGGCCAGAATGTCAACATATGCTGTTTCCTGCAACCACCCTAGGTGTTAGCTACTATTTCCATTTTGCAGATGAGAAAACTATTTAATAGAGAGGGTAAGTCCTTTTCCCTTCAAGAACACACAGCCAGGAAGTGACAGAGCCAACGTCCACTCTCTTACCACCATATTATACTGACACTACCTCCAGGACCTTGCACATGCCTTTTATTCCCAGCCCAGGATACAAATGCTTCGTGTAATACTTTGCGAATGTGGGCTGGGGTTGTGGCTCAGCAGTAGAGCGCTTGCCTAGCATGTGTGAGGCATTGGTTTCAATCCTCAACACCACATAAAAATAAATAAATAAAATAAAGATAAAAAAAAATCCAACTTTGGAATGCCCTGTCCACTTACAAAATCAGCTTGCTTTTCATTTCCAGAAGTCCTCCTCAATGCCCTCTCCAGTTATCAGGGTAGGTTAGGTTACTCCTTCTCTGAACAGTCCCAGCACCCACCAACACCACAGCACTCCTCTTAGCACACTGCCTTGACGGTGTTCCTTAGGAAAGGGAGGAAGCTAGTAGCAAGAAATGGTGAAGGAGGCCAGGGCTGTTGCTTGGTGGCAGAGCGCTTACCTAGCACATGTGAGGCACTGAGTTCAACCCTTAGCACCATATAAAAATAAACAAATAAAATAAAGGCATGCTGTCCATCTACAACTACAAAAAAAGAAATTTAAAAAGAGAATAGAGGGAGAGAATGTGAAGCCAGAACGAGAGCAATGGGGAGACAGGAAGGAAGGGCAAGCAACAGATAGGGAGAAGCCAGAGTCACAACAATTTTAAGACATATTATCAAAAGTCTCAAAAATATGCAACTTCTGACTTGGTAATTCCACTTCTAAGAAAAATGTTGAATAATACAGAAATATTCAGTAATATGTTAAGCAGATCATAGACAAAAATGGAAGATC